TTTTAAGTAAGGGGACAGATTTAAAGACAGACAGTCCTGCCCTTGTAAGCAGTATAAAGCATTCACAGAAAGACCAATATTAATCAGAACTCTGGGTTATTATATGCCGAGCACTAGAACTAGATACTTCATCCAAACTGTTCCAGGAAAACTCACGACTGTATAAATGGGTAAAATTGTTAGTGGCTTTGGATAAAGGCATCAGCCAGATAAATTAGTTAATTGTAAGGAGGGCTATCTGCTAATATCTGCTTTAATTTTGGAGTTTATTCTTTATGTGAATCCCCTGGGAATTAAGCTGATGGCAGACCAAATATGAGTAAGGGATGGTTGAGAAGGTACAGAGGAACTTAAAGCCATTGAATTTAATAATCCATACATCCATCCATTTTCCAACCGCTTATTCCAATTCCACGCCACAGGGAAGCCGGAGCTTATCATAGCAAGCAATGGGCACACGGCAGGGTACAGCCTGGACTGGATGTCAGTCCATTGCAGTGCACACACAGAAACCAATTAACCTATCAACATGCTTTTGGACTATGGGCGGAAACTTGCACGAACTCAGGGAGAACATATAACCTCCGCAAGTCCAGAATTGAACCCAGGCCCCAGAATTGTGAGGCAGAAATGCTAGCCACTGTGACACTGTGATGCCCTTGAATTTGATCAATCCATAGTAATAAATCTGCTTTGATTTAGAAGTTTTCAGTTAATAGTATTTCCAGAGAAACATAACACAAGTATAAAATAAAATAAGGATGACACCTTGCATATGCATAGATTTTACATCCCAAAGTATCCCAAGCTGCTTTACACAGAGGAGACCCAGTATTTCCACCACTGAAGTGCAGCAGCCACCTGGGTGATGCACATCTGCCTTCATGCACCAGCAGTCCCATTAAAACCAAAAATCAGGTGGAAATCTGAGAAATTATTTCAGCAGTTGAATTAAGGGTGAAAAAAAATTAGCCAAAACACTGAGGATAGCACAAGTCTTATAAACATTCATGGGATCTTTAATAACCAGGTTGTCAGTACTATCTCATCTATAGCATAGTAACCCTAAATACTATCATAGAGTTGGAATTTGTGAAGAAGCAGTGACACCCTCTGGTCCATCAGCAGTACTTACAGCGATACCCTGCCTTATCCCTGAAAATTACTATATGGAATATCAACTAGGGCAGTCTGTGCACAAGTGGGTGGACTATTGTATGGGATACAGAAGATAAATGAATGGCCAAAACAAAATGTTTGAGAACAGCTCATAGGTAGTTCCATTCCAGGCAATCACTGGGCTTTTGCATCTAAGGGAGGCCCTGCCCAAGAGGCTAGTTGAGACCCAGAATGTGAAAATGGTACAGTACCAGACATCATCAGAAGCAAATCAGACCTGGTTGGAGCCTGGTTCCAAGATTTGTGCAAAGTAGAGTGCTTCAGGTTTTCTGGTTTTCTGGAAGGATAAGCTGTCATTCTGTATAGTGAAGGAGTTTAAAGATGAAGTATAAGGCTTGTATGTCCAGTCACTGGTGACATCTGTGTGTACCCATGGCTTCAATAGACCTGGTTGTGGCTGGAAAGGATATTTTTATAAAAACCTTCCATACCTTCCCTGACACCCTTCGACAGGCCAACAATATGCAAGTTAGATAGGCAGCTTCCATTTTCCTGTTGGGCCAGACAGGATATAAATTGAGTTACCCCCTTCTCAGACTTTGAGAGGTGACTCAGTTCTGATACTGCGCAGCCTGCAGGATTTCTACCACCTTTACTTCCTGTGTCGACAGAAGGTGGAGGAGCTGCTGCCCTCTCTAGGTTACTGAAGGTGAAACTGGATGATGTCCAGAGTGGTGCAGCAAGGCTTAGACTGGTTTTCAGAGAGTCCCTGGGGTAACTCACAACAAAATCCCCTCACAGAGGGGAGCTGTATGTCAGGGAGCCAAGGACACCTCCTTGTGAGACCCTTGTGGGGGCTTATGAGGAAAGAAGTCGCTTATTTCTTAATGAGAAATTTTAATATTTCTTTAAAATTTGTAATCATTTTAATAATGAGGTGTGGCCGCAAAAAACGGCCCTAAACCACATTTTAACAATTTCAAAATACCTACACCTCCATCGTAACTGGGAGTCATTGGAAGATACCATGATTGTTGATGATACTGTATAAGTGAAAGGTGTAACATTAATTTATTGTATTCTTTTGGAATTTTGTAGCCCGATTGCCCTTTGGAGCCAACACTGCTCCACTTTTATCTTTAATATAGAATTAAAGATAATATGGAATTAAATTTAATATGGAAGGGAGGTCGAACTTTGTGCCACAAGAATCTGTATTTGTGATGGACTGCAAACCATTTTGTGGGTGGGCTTTTTCCCTTTTTTTGTTGCTGCTTTGCCCCCGAGCCAGCCCTGGTTTGCTGCACATTTCAGAAATTATTGCTAATTGAAATTGATCAGTATCCGGCTAGGGTAATTGTTATTTCACATTTAGTGCAATGAATTTCCAGTTTCATGTTTGTCATACTCAGCCTTTTCCTCTAGAGATATGAAAACCTACTGTGTGTAGGAAATTTGCACGTGTTTCTAAATTGCTTTTAGTCGCGAAGTAAAATATGTCTAATTGCATAAAGTCATTTGCTCTCATTTAAAGTTGTAAAACTCTCAAAACTGTGATTTCTGAAATGGACCCTCGGTGCCCACTGTCGGGATAATCATACAGAACTGAATTAAAACTTAGAGAAGCATGAAAAAATGTGTGCGTTACCCAGTTGGTTTGGTAGTCTGAATACTGGCAAACTAGAAGGCAGAGTATCCATTTCTACCAAGTAATTACAGTATTACAATTTACAAGTAGAATTGGCAGATATAGAGTGATGCTACAACCCCAATGTAATATGCTGAGATAGTGGAGATATTTTAGCACATCCTTCATTCCTCAGATGAGCACCATCACACATAGGACTCCACACATGAGCCCATTTAACTGAATTACCCACATATACTTTCATCCATTCTGTTTCTTGGTGGCAACCTTCTTACTTGTACTCAGATATAAAGCTTTGGTCTATCTCGTCTGGGAAGACAGGTAAATGTGTAAATTGTCTCATAGGATAGTGATATAATTACATTGTGGAGTCTTGATACGTCAAGGACGTTATTAGTTACAGCTTCAAAGAAGCCGTCATTGTTTATTTTGAGCAATGTGGTTTCTTATCAGTGCAGCAGACATACAGCTACATTCCTGGAGTTCTCATCAATTTTCATGGCTTCACACAGAGACTGTCTCATCTATTACTTTTTGAACTCATTGATTCTGAGTCAAATTATAGTTTTTCTCTGAGCACGCCCCAAACCCCAAATATCCTTTTTAACCTCATTCTTCAAAAGTGTTTTCATATTGGCCCTCTAGCTTCCTTGCCAAGTCAATGAGTCTGAAACAGATATTAACTGTTACTGTTCACTTCTCTTGGTAGTTCTGTCATCATCCATACTAAAGTTCTAATGTAAGACACAAATACTGAAAGTAGAGAAGCATTCACAAAATTATGTTAAAAATAATTATAATTATGCTTTACCTCTATAGGTTATCTTATTTAAAAAAAATGATCAGCAATATGGCCAGTCCATATTCATGGAGTGCAAATAAATCCAGATTTGTGTTATAAAAATAGGGTTTTTCGTAATTTGGTAAATAATTTCATTCTGACTACAAACAGGGAAAGTTTGTTATGTATAAGTGTATAAAAACAAAGACTTTCACCATTGTGTTAGAGTGAGCCTCTACCGATTTGGGCAGAATTTGGGCAGAATGATCACAGCTCAGAATTTCTTTTCCAACTCTTGAGAAGAAAAAACAGTGACAATGTGTCAATGTTCAATGAAGAATGTTCTCTTTTGGTACTCAAAGGGCAAAAGGTCCTTTGTTATAGGAATGCAGATAAAGGGAATTCTATAGGTAGTTTAGCAGGCCAGGTGCTGTGTATGGCCCTTCGGGACTCTGACATCTTATTTTGCTCTCTTTCCACCTCAGCAGTGTTAGTGGTTTCAAAGCTTGTCTTTTAGGTCTGTGGTTAATCTCTTCAGAGATTTAGTGCCCTTTGAGTTACAGGGCTGACTGAGACATTGACTACCCTTGCTTTAATTAAATTATAAATGAGCAGTTCATGCTTTGAGCACCAAGATGTCTAAATCTGGAAGAAGCTCATCTGCATCTTGGGAAGTGTTTTGAATATGGAAACGATGCCAACGCCCCATTAGTTCAATGGCTAGTCTTATTGAATATGTTTGTCTTGCAGTGTACACCTTTCAATGTTATAGTGTGTTTTTAATGAGTGAGCTTTAATGGGAATAAATATTATCTCTTACTATTTAGCTACACAGACAGACTGGTTAATTGATTATCAGAGAACCATTAATTCCATTAACCATTAAGGGCTGCTGCAACCCAGAGTCTATCATTTAAGCACAGGGTGTAAGGCAGAGTTACACCCTTTTAGTGAGTACATACATTTGTAAAAAGTCATAAAAGGTCAGTTGTGTGTGTTTTTGAATGCTTAATCCAGTACCCCCTATGCTGTGCCTCGGTGTGTCTGTGTTTACTGTAACTCAATCACAGTTTTGCAATTTTATGATTCCTTTCGTTGAGAACAACATCAACGAATAAAACATCAGATTTCTTTAATCAGCTGAACTACTTTAAGATGTACCCCTTTAACAGCAGGGTTGTTGTGATTCACAGTGAATCAGCTGGGGGCTTAGAAAAAAAAACATTCTTCAAGTTAAAAACAAGTCAGAAACTAAAACAAGAAAACAACAATAACAATTGAAATGTAAGAGACAGGGAATCTCCCAGTGAGTTGTTCTGTTATCATACAAGAAAGGTAATGCAGCAGTGATGGGATATTGCACTTATCATTACACATGATCATGACATCAAATTCAAAGGCCGTCTGTCTTCATTGCAGATGCTTTTAAAAATCCATCTTTTCTTCTGACAGGTCCTGGGGACTCCAACAGAGGACACATGGCCAGGGGTTCACTCCTTACCCCACTTCAAGCCAGGTAAGTAGCCCTTTGCATTTCCCTGTAGTTTCACGTTGAGAGCATCAGCAAGTGACCTGTTCATTCTGTGTAGGCTTTAAAAATTAAATTTCATTTAAATAAAAATGGGATGTAAATGTGAGAACCAATGCAGATTTAGAGTATTATGTACAATTGATTTTGCTGAACACACATTTGTGATGTTAAATTCGGTCTGGTGTTTCTTCAAATTAACAGCTCAGCTGAGTAAAATTAGTTAATATTTTTTCAATATTAAAAAATAATAGAACCCTTTGTTTACAGATACATTCTAGGATGGAGTAAGTGAAACTCAAATCATTTGCCCTTTACTACTAAAGTTGAATAAAAATTGGTTATGATTGTTCTGCGTGTGTATTTAGAAGGGAAAACACTCTGCTGATGGAAAGCCCCAGATTTTCAATGTTACTCTTCCAAGTTGTAATTTGAATCTGTTTTGAGAAGAGGCAGTTCATTTAAGAGTCTATTTTAAAATTGCAACAGCTGATTTCAGTATTATACTAGGATACAAGGACAGCCTCAATATCTATTTTTATTACAACTACCCCCTTTTAGTATTCTTGACCTATATACAGTATAAATTTATATACTGTACATTTGTGCTAAATGTTAAGTAGCATACTGGTATTATATGGAATATGGCCTTACAAGTAAGTAGAATTTACTATTTTTGTCAGGAAAAATACTTTTTAGGAATGTAGGTAAATAATTCCATTTGAACCACATATAGTGGCTCACAGGGCCAGAGCTTAATCTGGTCTAGGCATGAAGCAATCAAAGAGTCCAGCATTGCTGGGGGGAAGGCCTGTGAAGGTCCATATTCATACAGCTGCGTGGACTGGAGCAACCAGGGTTCGACAGCTCACTCACACACACAGCAGCAGTGACAAGGGCGGGGAATCGAACCACAGCCCTCAAAGTATGAGCGCAGTGACTTGTGCCATGCTGCCTACTTTTCTCAGTTGTAAGAAAGAATAAAATGTTCAAAAATTAAAACGTGGTGCTCCACCAGAAATGTGATGATTCTTTGTGACAGCAGATGGCAGTGTTGAACAGGAAAAACCAGGAGTTGTTTCTCCTTTATCCACTGTATCTGATGAGTTGAGGAGTCCTCAACTCCTCTGATGAGGAGTTGTTTCTCCTGTGTCCACTGTATCTGATGAGTTTCTCTTTAAAACCAGTTAAGAGCACAAGTACATTTTTTCCATCTAGATGTGTAGATGGGTAAGGTACTCAATATTACTTTTGTAAGAAGGAGTTACACACTCTTTCAATCAATATTGAAGGAGAAGGAAGTCAGACAACATCTGTGGAAAAAATTGATTTTATTTTTATTCATGCGATATATTTTGCTATTAAACATGATGTAAATATATATATATATGTTAATAGGAAAATAGGCCCTAGGTGTGAGTTTGTGCATCTGTGCTTATGTCTGTGTGTGCCCTGTGATGGACTGGTGTCCCATCCAGGGTGTACCCTGCCTTGTGCCCGTTGCTTGCTGGGATAGGTTCCAGCTCTCCCACAACCCTGAATTGGAAGGAGCAGTTAGAAAATGGGCGGATTGATGGCTGGTTAATGATAAGAGTCACTGATTAATGACTGTGTAGATCACTAGTGATAAATCCTTTTTTGGGTCTGTTTAATCTGCATAGCCTACTTTGTTGAAGAATTCTCTTCTCCTTCAAGCAAGAAAGCTGGGGTTATGTGTTTCCCAAATATATAAATCTCCAGGTAAAAAAAGCTCACGGGAGGCTGAGAGACTCTGGTGCTTTGTGCAGAAAAAGCAAAGGAGCTAATTTTAATCGATAGAACAGCAGGGGGGAAGTAAACAAAATTACAACAAAGTCAATTTTCCCAGTTCTCATTACTGAAACAATTCAGTGACTCTGGTGACTTCGGCTTGCTTGCCTTGAAGTCCCATGGAATATGAAATAAATAGCAAAGGAGTTCTAGTGTTTCTGATAACAGCTGATGAAAAGAGAGAGTCTGTATATTGTTCAGCAGTAAAAAAACTGCCTTTTTGGTTCCCATTGTGAGATGCTACAGCCTTTAGCAGTTTTGTAATGCACATTCTGTTATGCTGAGAAAGTATGCACATCATTCAGAACGGAAAATTCTGCCTTTTAGTTTCCCATTGTGAGATACTACAGCTTTTAGCTGTCTTATAATGTAAATTCACGAGTAGATTTGGCTGGAGATCTCTGCGGTTTGAGGATGTCCTTGATAGGGGGCTGTCAGCTAAGTAGCTCTTTTACTTGCGCATAATGAACTTTGTGCCTTATTGCTATCAGGTGGCTCTGTAGACTTCTAGAGCTTGCTGACTTTCAGAACCTGTTTGATGGCCTATTATCCAGGAAGGGGTAATTTACTTTCTATTGATGTCAGGTGTGAAAAACTAATAAACACCAGAGCACAGCATTTATTTGGAGGCAGTGAATCTGTTGCCACACAAGCTGACACTGTTTGCTTAGAAACTACTTGAGAATTAACCAGGCCGTCAGTTCAGGCTCTGCATCATTACTTCAAGGTTTATTAAACCATTTGGCTAGCTCCTTGGATTTTGAAAAGATTGCCTGGATACCTGAATATTTATCCAATTCATTAGTTGCAATCATATATATGTAAAACTGATTGTTAACATAAGATCACTTTATTAGCCCTATACAATTTCTTGCATTAGGAATTCGTCTTTTTTCGCTTGCTCTCCATGAGACACACAGACAGGGAGTGAAGCTTGGGGTCAGAGCACAGGGTCAGCCATTATTCAGCAGAGCAGTTGGGGTGAAGGGCCTTGCTCAGGGGTCCAAAGGAGTAGGATTCCTCTGCCGGCTGCGGGATTTGAACTCGCAACCTTCCAGCCACAGGCGCAGATCCTTAGCCACATAGCCACCGCTCCTTTATCTATCCTTAAGATGATGAATATTAACCATATGTGTACCTTAGCATTTTCACAGTTACACCCATGACTGTTCTTAGACCCTGTATTTCGTATTTTAATTATAATAATTCCTTACACTTATATAGTGCTTTTCTGGACGATCCACTAAAAACTCTTTACAGGTAATGGGGACTCCCCTCCACCACCACCAATGTGCAGCTCCATTTGGATGATGCGACAGTAGCCATAGTTCACCAGTACACTCACCACACATCAGCTCTCATTGAATGGAAGAACAGAGTAATGAAGCCAGTTCATTGATGGGGATAATTAGGAGGCCATGATTGGTAAACGACAAAGGGAAATTTGGCCAGGACACCCCTACTCTTTTTGAGAAACGCTTTGGGATTTTCAAAGACCAGGGAGAGTCAGGACCTCAGTTTTACGTCTCATCCAAAGGATGGCACCTTTGTTACAGCATAGCATCCCCAGCCCTATACTGGGGCATTAGGACCCAAACAGACTGCAGGGTGAGTGCCCCCTGCTGGTCCCACTATCACTTTTCCATCAGCAACCTTAGCTCTCCCAGGAGGTCTCCCATCCAGGTACTGACCAAGGTCACACATGCTGAGCTTTAGTGGGCTGCCAGTGGTGAATTGCAGACTGATGTAACTGCTGGCTATAATTTATTTTAAGAAGCTTCTGAGTGCTTTTAAATTATTAACAATTGTGTAGGTACATTTGATATTTAGCTGGTTTAACACATCAGTTGTATTTAGTATTAGATACTTAGGATTCCAAAGGTTGTTATTGCTGAAGCATTTATTTCTTGGCTTTATTTTTGCTCATTTTACAAAGGGGATATCCTAAACCTTAGGAACACAAAGAACCTGAAGATTTACTCACAGAAGAGCAATGATCCACCATTTTCAGGCAGTAGCTGGTGCTGGTGGGAGTTGGAGCAAGCCAGAATATATCCCGGACTCAAAGGCCACAGATCATGTCTGGCAATTCAAAACTTAGCCAGAATGTTTTGAGAGGAGAGGGGAAACTAGACCACCTGTCGAACACACCTGTGAACCTGTGAAAAGAGCATGCAGACTTCACACTGACAGATGCCTAAAGCTACAATTGAGCCCGGGTCTCTAGAGCTGTGAAGAGACAGTTCTAATTGCCATGCCTTGGTACTGCCCACTATTAAACCGTTAGCTGTCTGTCATACAGTGGTGATTGATGTGGTGTTGTCACTGTGCTGGCATGGAGAATGTGCTCCAAGAATGTAAATCAGTGAGAAAAATTAACATGCATATGTGACCAGTGGATCTGAAAGACTTTGCACTTCACTGAAGCTCCCTGTACCATTGAGCAAAGGCAATTAAAGGGGAACTAGAAAACAAAGATAAATACAGCTATACCTACATTTATTCATTTACAGATTGGTTTTTATACGAAGTTTAAGAGCAAACTGACAATAGGAATGTATCGAATAAGTCCATCATGAAGATTTTTTTTTTAATTCACACATGACATGTTTATTGTTTGGGTTGAATGTAGCCATCAAATATTATGCATCAAAGTGACCTTTTTTTTTCTTTGTGTTGCAGAGCGGTTTACTCAATACAGTCCTAAGAAACTTAGGCAAGCGTGGAATAAGTAAGTATTATAATCATTTACATGTTCTAATTCTGCTCATTTTATGTTAAGCTTTCGAACATAAAGCGAAGTGTCTGAAGTGTCTTGTTATGAAGTTCATTCCATTAATTAATAAAGACAAATTGAATGAAAACTGATTGAATTAAATGACTAAATAAATACAGTTACACAACAGTTAACTGAAACATTGTGTAGAGATGTCCTATATTTTACTCATCCTATATTTTCCTGGTTGAACCTCTTAGCCAGAGATGACTTTCATTTTAACAGATGGACAATGGGGGTCGCTGTGTCGGTTTCCATAAAGATTTGCACCATTTGGCCATTTTGCTGCTGCCCCTTCTAGGCCAGTGACTTTGGGCCAGAATGGTCCTGAAGTATAAACCTACTTGGGGCCCAAGTGGGCGGCATGTAATGGCCAGTCTTCATAAGTAATGGTAATTGTTTTAGTCTTAAAATTGATTGTGAATGAACTGCTATTGTTTAAGTGCAAGAAAAGCATGCAACGATTTCATTCATTGCAAAGAATTTACTGAATCCCAAATGGCTCATCAGGCATCATCAGAAGTGCTGTACTTTGTGGTTGAAGTCACAGAGTTTTGTGGAACCAGTTCCTGGGAAGTGATGTGCTTTTGTGTCTCTTTGCATTGTACTCTTGGTTTTGTCAATTTCAAGACTCACTTGGGGATCAGGCTGTCGGAGCAAAGAGTGGCACTGAAAGAGGTCCAGATTTTTTCATGTTAATTTGAAGACCAGTGTGTCAGTTTTGTGGCTGAGAAGATGGCGAAAAGTTAATTGAATAAATATAAGTAAATGGTAAACTCATAGTGAGAACTGGTCCACAAACTTCATTTTAAAATAATGGAATGACAAGAGAAAATCATAGATAATTCAGTATCTACTATGTGTATTTAATTATAAATTAAATAATTATTTCCCTTGATCAGGATTTTCCTTTAACATGACCCATGGTTTTGGGCCATGTAAGCCCTTTCTTGTATTACAAGGAAATGAACAAATGTCAGGGGCATCAATACTCAAGAAGTTAATTAGGAGTTAGTGGGGAAAATAGGGCCAGTGTGCTTCCTTTCCATTATACATCTGTTATCGATTATATATCACAGCAAGAGACCTAAAGACATTTTTGGTGTCGTAAAGACAATGTTTATAATTCATACAAGATGGTGCTTGCAGACTGTTTGAGAAACATTAAGGATAAAAATTGAACTACTTATTTTTAGTAACTCACAGTAATGCATTACAAAAGCAGTGATTTTCTGTGAAAATGTTAAGTTTTTAAGTAAGGCTCTGAAAAAAGGGAAAGCGGTTTTGATTACCTGGAAAAACATATTGGGTGTGTCTGGGGGAAGAATGGTAGATTAACATTTACACTGGTGAACCTTTGCAAGAGTTTTTTAGCTTTAAATGTTTAAGATGCTTATTAGTTTCCTGGCTGTTTCATATGAACTTTTAAAGGTAAAACTTGAGCAATTTTAAGAGCATATTTGTTAAAACAACCAGGAAGCTGAAAATACATTACAAACGTTCACTGAGCAAGTGGACCAAAGAGCTATAACATCACCGTGGTAACATTTTGATTCGAAACCAGTTCATCAGCTGAACCCTAGGAGGTGATCAACTTGTGTGTCACTGAGATTAGGACCTTGTATGGTAGTAACTTTAATCAAACCAAAGGGATCTGGAGCTTCTCGTGTCCTTATAGAGGTATCAAATGGAGTTTGATTCAGTAAGCTGCAATTGATTTCATTCATCTGGGGACTCAATGGCAGTGTTATGAGCTCCAGATTTATTTTGTGTGGAAAACCTTTATTTTAAGGCCCTAGAAATCTTTGTTAAATGAGTCCCTTCATCAAAAAGTGATGTTTATTTGTGCCCGAACAAGCCAATGTTATGGTTCATTTATTTAATAAAACGTGTTTTTTCCCCCTTTATTCCTGCCCCTTGGTGCCTCTTCGAAACATTTTCTAGTGTGAAAAACAGTGTGAGCAAAGCCCTTTTCTAAAGAAGAGTTCAATTTGACATGACTCTTGGTAATACATTTGTGACTTGACCTAAAAAGCCAGATAAAATGTGTTTATTTAATTACAGAGTACTTATCAAGATTGATAGTTTACGGGTTAATCTTTAGAACCATTATTCTGAAAAAGGAGCTGATGTTTACCAGCAATATTGGTAGAAGATGTTTCATTGACGTCTTAAGTGCAACAGCATGTTTTAGCAGCTTTGCATCGATGTTTTACTTTTCATTGCGGTAATTAAGGCCAAACTTCATGGAAGCTCTTCCACAAGGGAATACATTACAACCCCCATCCGATGCATTATTAATGCAGCTCCGTGTGTAAATCGATTCATATTAATAAAACAGCTCCAGTGAACATGACTTACTTTTTAAAATACGCTTTTGTGGCTGGAGTGGTGTTATACATCATTGCAAAATTCACATGAAGAGCTGTAGATTCGGGAGTGAAAATGAAAGGATTGAAACTCATGAAGTATGCAAAAACGAGACAGCGACCTTCTAACCAAGGTCACGACCTCATCCTTGTGTTAAAATCGATCAGAACAAAAAATAAAAGACAGCGCCAATTAGTACAACGACATTTTGTAGTACAATGGAACTACAAAATCGTAATTATTCCAGTGTTTAAATTTGCATACTGTACGTGTATATGAAACTTTATTTTAGATATTAAATTTAATTTAAAAATATCATACTAAATATTAAATTCTGCAGTAAATAGAATCAATATTGTTCAATTGCATAAAAAGCACAAGAAGAAGATGGACGTTATAACCAGAGGGTGGTTGAGAAGCCACAGCACAGATTGGACGACATCGATAACACATCCTAGGGCTATATTCATTGAGTTTTTTTTTAGTTTCTTTATTAGCCCTATACAATGTCTTGCATTAGGAATGCGTCTTTTCGCATACCCCAGCTTTTCTCCATGGAGAAACAGACACACAGACAGGGAGAGAAGCTGGGGGTCAGAGCGCAGGGTCTGCCATTGTACGGCGCCCCTGGAGCAGTTGGGGTTCAGGGCCTTGCTCAGGGGCCCAACGGAGCAGGATTCCTCTGGCCGCGGGATTTGAACCGGCAACCTTCCAGTCACAGGCGCAGATCCTGAGCCACAGAGCCACCGCTCTGCCGTTGTAAGTGAGACCCTCTCCTCGCATGGAGCTGCTGTCTGAGTCAACATGTGGTCAGCATTGCCATACACACAGAGCAAGTTCTGTTCCTGCTGCTCTGTAAGACCACGTATATGAAAATGCTTCTGTAAGGGTGGCAAGCTGGATGTCCAATGCCCAGTGGTAAACTCTAGCAAGTTGCCTGGTGGCTACATTTTCAAAGAAACCTACAGTACTTAATGTAAACCACTCAGTCAGTCAATGTTTTAGCTCTCCCAGGTGTCTTCATGGTAAATTAGGTTGCAAGGAGCAGCAGACGAGTTAAGACTGAAAATCTAGCTCACTAACAAACCATCTACTAAACAAGGAGGCAAAGAGAGACGAGGGACATTAAAACAAGGGCGTATCAGTTCTGAATCTGTACATGCAGATTCAGAATTACCACAGACCATGACAATGTTAATTTCAAAATCAAGTGTGTCACCCCTTGTGTGTAGAATAACATATTAATGTGTTTTTCTGGGTGTGGTCATAAAGGATATGTGTCTAATTAAAGCGCTGTAATTCACACACTTCAAGTAGAGTTCAAAAAGTATTACTTAAATGCTTACTTATAAGTGCTTTTTTAAGATGTAATTAGATCTTGCGTTATTGAAATTCATCTGTACTCTTGTAAATTTTATGACTCCAGAGTTGACAGTTCTTTCCTAAATTCCACAGCTAAGATTGACTAACCAGTTTTAGACTTGGCAAGCATTCTTGCAGAGTAAATTTATAGTGGTTTGGAGGTAAGTGCACCTCTGCGTATAATGAACTTTTATTCGTTTTCAAATGAGATGCCTGAGACCTAGTGCGGATAAAATAAGCAGCTTCATTTGTGTAAATGGTGTTTATTTCACTTATAAAGCAGTAATAGCTTAATTGCTGTAAGCTTGGCAGTTTTTACTTCTTTCACATATATTTTGTTAAAGCATTTAAGGTATTTTTCTTTTTTAGTACTCAGGTTTTTCAAAAATCAAGTAATAGCTCCCCACTGCAAGATCAGAGGTTCAAGGTCAGGGTGATTTCCTTCCTCTTTCCTCCAAATTCAGTTCTCTAATGTAACAGAGCTCAGTGGCATTTAATGATCACATTACATGATTGACGACACTCCCTAGTGTAGACAGTGATGAATTCTCCTACTTTTTTTTCTGTGCATGCCAAGATAAGGAATCTCAGACAAACTTCAACCTTTCAGCTCATTGTCCACAGCATTGCGCAGAATATTGGTTTGACTCACTAGTCAGTGATCCAAGGACGTAAGGGTCAGTCTTTTAACGTCACCAGCTGTATACAGCTTTGTATAAAACAATTCAGTATTCAAAATTAAATAATATCTGGCACATTTACCATACAGCTGTCCAACGTATTTCTTATTGACATTAGGTTTTGACTTATTAAAGGGTTCAGTTTGCTTTCTTAGTAGGAAGACAAAATGTACCCATGTCTTAAATGCAGATATACTGTATTTTCTGTCAGATCTCGCTGCTGATGGGGACTAGCAGCGGATCAATGAGACGTGGGATGAACCCAGTTGTTGGGAGAGACAGCTGGCAGCGGCAGGGAGATGCAAGTAGTGCTGTTGCGCCGAGCTGCACACGGACAGTGAGAATGGGCGGTACTGCGCGTTCATAGGTGCCAAGCGGAGAAGGCAGAGTGCACGCAAGGGTCAAATCCTGATGCACAGAATAGTCTCTACACCACACGGGGCAAATCCAAAAGACGTTGTTGTAATCGCCAGCAGAGCTGAAGCCAAGTAAAACCAGAGAGGTCACAAGCCAAGGGATGATCCAGGATGGAGGTAGAAAAAT